ACCTGTGAGAGGAATAGAGGGCACTAGGTGAGACAGAGGCTATCAGGCGGCCCCTATAGGGGCGGAAGAGGTGCCCTCGTCTGACCACGGACGTTCACAGAATAGTCTTACAATGTTTTCCACATTCTCTGTTTGTACGGGATGCTGTACCCGGTTTCCAGCAGGTGAAGCTCCCACCAATAGATTGGAGCAGCCCACAACCGAGATGCTATTGGGGGATGGTCGTATCACCCTCAATAACTGATCGGCCCGGGCTTTTGGGGGAGGGGTAAAAAAAAGTTCAGTTCTCTCCAATGAGTCTCCATGCAAAAGACAAGATGCAAGGGAAAGGGTTGCTCTTCATTCTTTCTTTGGCTATCCTTCTTTGTTTGTTGGCCTAGTTTACAAACCCTTCATTCTGGCACTTTTCTGTCCTTTCTTTTTTCGCTCTGGTTGTTTCATGTTTGTTACTCCAATTTCCGAAGCTATGTGAGGGAAAGAGAACTGAGATTGGCGACATTGCAGCGTGGAGTGAATTGGCGGTCATCATCACGCTTTCCTCAAAGGCCAGCAGCCTTTTCTGATTCAAGGTAAGACACAATTTTGTGGGGAGGGGGTCTGAAGCCTTTGTCATCGCCAAGGCAACTTGTTGGCTGTGTTTGAAGAATATTAGGTGATGCTCTATAGTGGCTGAGTTCCAGCATCAGAAGGGCTGACAGCGCAGATAACCAACTCAGTCAAAGCTTATTTGGATCCACGATCAAGTTCAGAACTTCGTGTATATTCATGGCAGCGATCCAGACTTCCGGACAGGGATCCAGCCCGTCCGGTGTCCGGTGTCCGGTCCACTTGTCCGGATCCCGGTCCGGATTCCTGCCCGTGGGGCCAACGGCCAAATTTTTTTTTGGCGGCCCAGGGTTTCGTCACGCCCTGGCCCGCCAAGCAAAAATACGAGCCCAATTTTTGGAGACTCTGGAGGTGTATCCGGTAGGGCCGGAACTTTTTTTTTGGTGCTTGTGTTTTTTTTTTCTTTTTTTTTCTTTTTTTTTCTTTTTTTGTCCTGCCCGTTTGGATGTCATTCTGGCAAAATGGCGGCCCGGTAGTGCAAACAGGCCTCAGATTTGAAGTCCTGCCTTGTGAGTTTGTTCCCCCCCCCTCCCACTTCGACGTTAGAATGCTTGCCAGTGCCGTCATCGTGCAAGGAGGACGAAGCAGGGCAACATGGTGGCCACATTAGGCAAGGT